TGCCATAATCGCTTGATCATTCATAGTAAATTTGCATCCAGTTTCTGACAACATTGCACCTTTCTTGGCAGATATTTTATTTATTTTTATTTTAAGCGTTTCACCCCAAGCAAGGCGGGAAGCCACTAGGACGCAAGGGGTTACAGAAAATTTGGAGCAAGATCATATAGGTGTGATAGAAGAAAGGATGAGGAGAAGGGTAGTGGATAGATCAAGGCAACTGGAGATGTCAATTGACATTACATTTGAATAGCTGGAGATTATATCTCTCAGGGAAACTGGAATAGGGAAGGGAGTTCCACAGGCGAGAGGTGAGAGACATGAAGCTATTGGAGTAGAAGAGACAGCTACATTTAGGAGTTTCGACAGTGAAGGGGTGAGAGCGGGATGCCAGCCTCGTCGGGTGCTTGAACTCGTGAAGTCTGGGAACCAGCGAATGCAGCTCCTCGGAGCAATTGCCATGAAAGTATTTGTAAAACAGACAGAGAGAGGCGACGGAGCGTCTGTGAGAAAGTGACTGTAGACGAGATGCCAGAGCAGGGCCAATTATATTGCATATCCGCCTCTGGAATCTATCAAGAACCCCGAGGCAAACAGAAGGTTCTCCAGACCATATATGGCAGCAATACTCCATGCAAGGGCGAATTGTTGATTTGTAGATCTGAAGGATCGATTCCGGGGAGAAAAATTTCCTGCAGCGGCATAGGGGGCCAACTTTCCTTGCGGTGGACGAAGCATTATTATCACGATGTGAGATATTTAATAACAAAATGGTAAAAATATAAACAAACTGAAAAAGAAACGTATTGAAAATAGCTTGACTATTTACCCAAACTCATATTAAAAATTTAATTTAAACCAGCTCCTATCTCTTGATGTGCATGTGTAGTTACATCAAGATTAATATCACTTTAGTCCGATGAAGTCCAAAACGACAAAACGCGTCACATAAAGGATTTTTTTTCACTTTTTCATTATTGTTCCTAATATATATTGATTATTTACATCAACTTACTTCCTATAACTGGTTTATTAAATGTTGTATCAATATATATTTAAGCATTATTAATGCCGTAAAGGACGAATCGCATCACGTGAAGGATCTTTTCCACTTTCTCATTAATGTCCCTAATATATATTAAATACTAGCAGTAGAACCCAGCGTTGCCCGGGGATGTAACAGTAAGAGATAGATCAAGTATCGACCATCATAAAGACTGAAAAATAAAATTGACAAAGATTATTGTTTAAGGTTGACGGACACGCATGTCTTAATTAGTTTTTTTTTTTGTTCTTTTGTTTTTTTTTTGTTTTTGTTTTTTTTTACGAATTGGTCAAACTGAAACAAAAACATTGTTTTTAATCGTTATGATTCTACCGATTGAATAGAATTGTATTATAAACAATTGTTTTGTAAATGGAATTTTTAAAGCATTCTGAATGTAAAAATAAAGAAAAAAAGTGTGCAAGACAATAAGAAACCCTACCTGCCAAAAAAGTGAACTTTTATTGAAATCGGTTGAAAAATGTAGGAAATCTGATCCCATATATAAACGAACTAACACACACACACACACACACACACACACACACACACACACACACACACACACGCGCACACACACACACATACACACACGCACACACACACACACAAACAAACAAGCAATCTGGGTTTTATGATAAGTATAACTCGATAACTGGATATCAATAAGTATAACTCCATATGAGTTGTCCCCCTTTCATTAATGCCTCTTAATCGTGTTTTCAAATTGATTTCGTGCAAAAACAATTGTGTTTTTCCAATTTTTAGCGCTGTCAGAACCACCGCAGCGTAATTTTACGTAGTCCTGTGAAGTTTTGTTGAAATCGGTTGAAAAATGTAGGAAATCCGATCCAATATATAAACGTAAAGACACACACACACAATCTGCGTTTTATAATAAGTAAGATTTACATCAGATTATTTCCTATAACATTTTATTAAATGTTGTGTCAGTGTATATTTAAACATTAATGTTTCTGTTTAGATTTATTTATACTATTAATACGAGTACTCTCTGTTATATCAAGGATCAAATAAACGAAAAATAAATATCAGGTATTAATTCAGTCAGTTATGTGCCGTGCGTGATACACGCTTAGGCGACTATGTATCTTTCGATATATGATTGACGAGGCAGATTTTTTTTCCCGCAGTCGTTGCCATTTCTTTCTGTGGTAGACCAGTTGCCATCCAATGCTATAGAACGGTCTCTCCTTCTATTTTACCCATAGCTGGGGGGAGAAAAAGAGGATTCGTATCTGCCCAAAGGGTATTAGCAAGTAAGTGAATGCAATGAATTCGATTTGAATTTGAACTCAGCGCTCCGATTATCTCAATCCTAGCTGCTATCCATTCCTCTACCATTGTTTTCTAAAAAGACATTTTCGTTATTAATTAATTAAGTTTTCAAAAAAAAAAAAGTATTAATTATTGGTTTCTAAAAATCCTGTATTAATTATACGTTTAAACTTTCATCGTCCCCTCTCCTTCGTGCGCATGTATAGTTACATCAACGTAAACGTCTGATGAAGTCCTAAAGGCTGAAACGCGTCACACGATTTTCTTTCATTTTCTCATTAATTTTAATAACATATAAACGAATAGTAATAAACTTAAGAAAATGATTGGCCAGAAAGTAAAGAAAAAATTATTGGGGAAAAGAAAAAATATATTGGGGTATTGAGCTTATCTAACATTTCTTATGATGTATTTCTGCTTTGAACATTTTAACCCATTTAATTCTATTTTGTTAATCTCTGTATTCTATTGAGTGCTACATGCATTTTTTCGGACAGTAATTATTTTTTTCTTGTTTTATGGCTATTTTATTTGCAAATATTAAACTCAACTTTGTATATTCCTTGAGGGTTTGTAAATACTGACACGTAAAATGAAAACGGAAAATCTGATTTCGAATTTCACTGCTTGTAGTATTACCTGCCTCAGTCTGTCGAACCACATCTCTGTCGCTTCGACCATTTACTTTATCTCGCTCACTGGGGTAGACTGTTCTAGTTCTATGTGCCATGTTTAAGGACACACAGCACAGTGGGTAAAGGTGTTGGTAAGATCCAGTGACAGGATCTAAAGATTGTGTAAGGTTAAGGTAATGGAGAACTTGGAGAAGGGAATTAACAGGAGATGACTGATAACTGATATCCATTAAACATGGCACATGGAACTAGAACAGTCTACCCCAGTGAGCGAAATAAAGGGTTCAGTTCGACATTCCAACCACCTGAAGAAGGCCGGGGCGTACAACGGCCGAAACGTTGTAATTAATATGGCGACAAAGATGAGGACAATAGTCCGAATAATGTAAATAGTGTACATAATACCTCATCTCAGAAATATAGACAAAACCTGAACATATACACATTTCTGCCATCGAGTTTCAAGTTTATTAATACATTTACGATAAAACTCTAAATGTTTGGACGTTAAGAAATCTTTGAATGTAAGTTTCTACTTCTTCTTTACAACGTAATTTCTTGTGGTTTAAAAAAATATGAAAAAGCGATGGTTGATGCGCACGAGATCCGCGAAATATGGTGTGTGCGGCAATATCTCGTATCCCAAGTTGATAAGCTTCTGCAGTGTTATGAAAGCAATATATATATTTGTACAATTATTATAATTATATTTTATGTAGAACACAAAAGACTTAATCCAAAATCAGGCATTATTTGCCGAAGAACGATCCTCACTGAGTTTGACATAATTCAAGAATATTACCAATATCTCCCCAAGTGTGCAAACAATGTCTCGATGAAATTTCGCATCAAACTTGCATTTGGACATTTATTAAACGCCCCTTTAAACCAGTAAATACTTTGGGAAAACAGCGATAATAAAAAGGATACGAATCATATTCCGCTGCTTTAAAATTAAAACATGTGTAATTGCTTGCTGAAAATCTACTTCAAATTCGTATGATTAGAAAATTACATAAAAGCTATCGCAATAACAATGTCGTCAATATTATACTTTCATTTAATTTTACCGTAATTTAATTTTCAATTTAAGACAATGACTATTTTCTTGAAATATAAATTTGGTCCAACAAGGCTCATCGAACTGATTGAAATTCAATAAGCAATTGTCATATGATTATCTTCGCGTCTGGATTGGTTTATAGTGTGCAACAGTTTAAAATTTCTACATTTCCTCTCCTTTATTTTAATGGAATGTAATAGAGATAATAATGTTCAGGTCATTACAAAATGCAGTGTAAAAATAATAACAACGATATTTTGTTTGAAATTTTTCTTCAATTCACTGAGTCACTTCTCTGACTTCTTTTATGTTTGGCAACACAACGCCATATTCGTAGACGTAATTTTTGCCTGTCGGGCATTTTGACGACATATACTCTGCCTATTCTTTTCAGATTCTGTGTCGGCTAAAATTAGCAAATATTCGAGGCTCAGTTTGATTTCTTTTTAGTGTTTTATAAAATATGATGCATAAATGTTCAGAATATTGAATAAAATGTAAAATTAATAGAGGCAGAGTTAATCTTTGTCAAATCAATATTTTGTTTGCAGTTTAAACCTGTCATTTTTCTTTGTCCTAATGTAAAATATCTGTGAGCAGTATGTGATTCGGAAATTGCGTGATAATTTAAATTATGCTGAACAGCAGCAACAACAACAACAATAATAATAATAATGATAATAATAATAATAATAATAATAATAATAATAAAAGCTGGAATTTGACATAGGAAATACAGAATTTTTAGAATTATATTTGAAATTGCTTTTAGATGTTTTCTAAATCTTCAACAGAAATGGAATAAGATTTAATTTGGAAAGATATTAACATTTAATGAACAAAAAAATTTTCATTTTTACACACAGGCAAATAATATATATATATATATATATATATATACTGGTGTTGAAAACAAACAGAAATTAAGATATATCAAGCGAGATAGATATGAACAGAATCAGATAGATAGATAGATAGATAGATAGATAGATAGATAGATAGATAGATAGATATTAAGAAACTAGTATAGATAGATAGATAGATATTAAGAAACTAGTATAGATAGATAGATAGATAGATAGATAGATATTAAGAAACTAGTATAGATAGATAGATAGATAGATAGATAGATATTAAGAAACTAGTAGAGATAGATAGATAGATAGATAGATATTAAGAAACTAGTAGAGATAGATAGATAGATAGATATTAAGAAACTAGTAGAGATAGATAGATAGATAGATAGATAGATAGATAGATAGATATTAAGAAACTAGTAGAGATAGATAGATAGATAGATATTAAGAAACTAGTAGAGATAGATAGATAGATAGATAGATAGATAGATATGAAGAAACTAGTATAGATAGATAGATAGATAGATAGATAGATAGATAGATAGATATTAAGAAACTAGTATAGATAGATAGATAGATAGATAGATAGATAGATAGATATTAAGAAACTAGTATAGATAGATAGATAGATAGATAGATAGATAGATAGATAGATAGATAGATAGATAGAACAGACTGAGATAAATTAAGCAAAGGAATCTCAAGAAGAATTTAAGCCAATGATGGCGTAACTATTATCAGCCTAGAATCATTGAACTGGATGTTATCTCTGGCTGACGTGCTTCTTTCGGACGGATGCTTTTGTAGAAGTCTTCAATGTATTCATACTCTCTCCTACCATGAGTTATTTTGACAAATACGATTTAACGTCTTATCAACTTTCAGATGGGCGTTATACCAGCGCATCAATTCTTGGCCCTTAAAAATAGATACATCGGACGACCTTATATTTGCATGAAAACCTTAAAGTACAATTAATTTTCTCTTATAATATTGTTTTAATAATTACGATTAATAAATAGACTTTAGTATTGTCTGTGATTTGTTACGAGCAGACCAAGTGTCTCTATTTCATAAGTAGATCTACTTTTTCGCTTGCTATATATTGTGCACAAGTGAACCAGTCTTTCGATTCATTTATTATCCTTTCTTATAACTGTTTTCGTGTCCCCCTCTATTATTGTGAGTAAAAGCTGTGACCTGTTCTCTGCTCCATGTTGAACTGTTTCCATCGTTGAAAGTTTTCTTTTGCATTGGTCTTTCAGCGTTTCTTTTTTCCACGGGAATCTGATATATATATATATATATATATATATATATATATATATATATATATATATATATATATATATATATATATATATATTTGTTGATAGATGTGAGTTTGTGACCCTGGGTTTCACGCTTTAGTACTGCGCATATAATATATAAATAATTATATATATATATTTATTTATATTTATATACACTTTTCACATATATATATATATATATATATATATATATATATATATAGATATATATATAGATATATATATATATATATATATATATACACCTGTGTAAATTTAAAAATGAAAATATTTTTGTCCATTAAATGTTAATAACTTTTCAAATGAAATCTTATTCTATTTCTGTTGGTGATTTGGAAAAAAATCTAAAATCAATTTCAAATATTATTCTAAAATAATTCTTATCCTGTTCATGTTTCGCAACGTTATGTCTTAGCTGATAATTTTCAAACATTGCAGACTTTACCTTTTTAATTGTATTGACATGACGTCTTTGGTTTTGTCACTATTTAAACTAGAAAAGAAACTTCCCACCCAATCATTATTCCGTCGTTTTATTTCCTTTGCACGTCATCTCTTTATTATCTCCTGCCCTAGGTAGAGTTATTCCTGGGCTTCTTCCAGATCTTCATCCTCTCTCTCTCTCTCTCTCTCTCTCTCTCTCTCTATATATATATATATATATATATATATATATATATATAAACATTTGTTCCTTGCGCATAAATTAAGTATTATGTTCATTTATAGATAGATCATTATGAACAAACTTAGATAGATAGATAGATAGATAGATAGAAAAAAACGGTGACAGAAAATCAGATATACAGCTAGATATACATGGAGAGGATGACATATATATATATATATATATATATATATATATAAATAGATAGATAGATAGATAGATAGATAGATAATGAAGAAACTGAGATAGCAATAAAGATAAACTGTGGGATAGATAGATAGATAGATAATGAAGAAACTGAGATAGCAATAAAGATAAACTGTGGGATAGATAGATAGATAGATAGATAGATAGATATGAACTGACTTAGATAGATAGATAGATAGATAGATATGAATAAACTGTGAGAGAAATACAAATAGACAGTGATATAGATATGGACACCCTTAGATAGATAGATAGATAGATAGATAGATAGATAGATAGATAATTATTTTATTTCTCTTCATTTTCGCCTACTTTAAAACTTTCCTCTTTAGAATATTAAAATGTCTTATATGACGATGCTGATATTCGTAAAACTGAGACAGCAAATTGTAAATGGTTTAATGTATCCCTGAGTTTTCTTTTATTTTAATTTTTCTAATTAATACTGGATTTTATGTTGGAATTAATGGCTTAATATTTTCTACATTTATGGAAAAGTGTAATTAATATTAGAAATAGAGCGCTTTTAGAAAGAGATAACATAGACATATATATCAACACAGTATAATGAGTGCACGCCTCAAGCTGTCTTCACCCACCATGAAGTGTTGATTCCTATTGTCTTATTAAAATGTATTTAATCAATAAATCCTACATTGTACTGATTTTATTTCAATTTAGAGTTTTAAAAAATCATGAATTCACGTAAACTTTTAACTGACTTCATTTCGGTGTTAATATTCGTCAGAACCAATGTCTGCTATGATCAATACCGATCGTTCATATCGATTTCATTCTCATTAACAAAGTTATTCACCATTAGAATTAATTGTGAAAGACTGGCTAATTTCTTTCCCCAGCTCAAAATGCAACATTCGGCACGAAATCTTGACACTGATGACACATATTGCGTTTGACATCTGAAGGAATTTTTTTCCGATACCGAGATCCGAATTCGCGTTGGACGAGTGAAAGGGGCATTCTAAAAGCTAAGTAAAGTGCTGAAAAACAGACATGTTTCGTTTGAATCAAAGAAAAGCGTGCTGGATTGGTATGTGACATCAATCCTCTAATATAACAGTGAAGGCTGGATAATCTCTCCATGGCTGAGGAGAAAACTGTAGGCAGTAGAAATGTGGTTCCATAGAAGTATACTGAGAGTCCTATGGATGGAACGAGGAATCAACAAGACGGTCTTAAAGAAAACAACGAAGGCTGGACAAATTTCCCATGTATTAAGAGAAAACTGAGGCAGTATAAATATGGTTCTACAGAAGAATACTGAGAATTCAATGGGCGGAGCGAGGAAGTAAACAGCAACTGAAAGAACAAATTATGCTCAGAATCAGGAAAAGACGGCTGAAATTCCTTGTACCATCATGAGAATTTAGAGCTTAGAAAACTTGACCCACAGGGGGCATACTGAGGGCAACAGAGAAATGGGAAGGCGGCGAGTCACGTACCTGAAAAGCTTGTGTGAATGGATAGCGGAACGGTCTGTGGGAGCCTTAGGAAAGAAAGAAAAAATGTCACAAGCTGAAAGCGATAGGAATTTGTGGTTATGGCAAATAAAAGAAGACATTTCGGCATACCTGGTAAAAATCGCTGTCGCTGAATTGGATCGGAAGTAAAATGTTAAAAGATTCTCATTTCTGATAAACGTTGTACGTGGAATTCTAAAATAGCGAAGGCGAATCGGTAAAATTAAATATGGACATCTTTTAGTTAGCATCGTTTGGCAGACGCTCGCAAGTATGAACGCCATCTCTACAGAAAACCTGTAATTATTACTCGTAGAGTTACAGTTTGCAATTTGGGGCTTTGCGTTTTCCAAGTGGAAAGCTTGTTTGTAGGTTGTATAATAGTATACGAAACAAAAAAGGGAGATAACGAGAGAAAGTGCAAAACGCTTATAGACGACACGTTGCGCCGAACGTGACGTGTGTCGGGTTCGGCTTCTTCAGGTATCGCAGCATTTTTAAACATTAACGTAGTTTATTTTACATTTTATTGTCTGGCCGACATTTTTATTTGCTCTTGCTTTTATGATTTCCCAGCCATCCGTCACGCTACGCCAGACTTACCGCATTAATGGAATGTCATTATTTATTTTTTTTTATTTTTTTTTAGAACTCATTACAATTTTTGTCATCGTCTTTACCAAATGTACCCGCCACTCTTTCTGCCAACTAAAAAAAAAACCTCCTGTTTTCGTACGATCAAAAGAGAAACATGAGTTGTGTTATCTCTCCACATGACTCGAATACAACGCACATTTCAGTTCACTGATGCATAGATTTTTTATGGAGAAATAAATGAAGAAAGAAAGAAAGAAAGAAAGAAAGAAAGAAAGAAAAAAATGCAGTTTTGTCTTAAATTAGATTTCAAAATTGAAGACCGCTAAGGACATCATTCATTTTGGGTAATAAAAATGAACTGAACGACCTACTAAATATTTTATGTATGATATAATTATTTTATACTTCTAAAATATCTTTATCAATAGGTAACTAAGTACACCGAGTTATAGATAAAGTAGTGATTGTGAATATTCTCTTTTTCTATGTGTGTTGTGGACCCAGAATAGTTCCGAAAGAAAACTCGAACACATTATTAACAAAAAGAACGAATACAAAAGTGTTGCACGTCCGACTGACGGCAAAGTACAGGAGTCAACTCGTCAACTGTAGACAGTCCCCCCACGAGGAATGTATGTGGCACAAGGCCGAGTTTAATGTGACTCGTAGGCTCGGTCAAAAAATACCCTTTGAACCCGCCTAGACGGGTTCAGGGCCTGTCTAAACGAAACTTTGCCCTTCGTCCAGGTTCCTCTCTGCTTTGACAGAAGTCGTATACAGAAGACGTACACGGTCAGAGACTGCGGGTCAACTGTAGACAGCTATCTTGAGAGGCATACTCTCCCTCGTAATAGGACGAGTCCATTTAGTCCATGAAGGTAGGTACCATAACAATGTGCCATGTCCCTTCATGTCCCAAAATGCTCTGCATATTCTTTTAGCCACAATCGAGGATGATTTTTATTTCTTTTGATTGAATGTATGGATTTTTTAATGTTTATATCTTTATAGATATGTTTTCTTTTCCAAATACGGTTAGCACATTGTGGCCGTGTTCATTGTTGATATTGATGAATGATGACATTTTTTCTTTTTTATTATTAGTGCTTCAATTATTTTTAGTCATTATATATATATCGATAAGGCTCTTGTATTTTCTACAAGTATATCGCGGATGGTGTTTAATAGGATTCCGCGTGTGATTAAATGGATCCTAAATGAGATATGATCAGAGAGGTGTAAAGTGAGTCTTCACGATATGCATGTAGTGGTATGTCCAATATAATAAAGAATAAATGAAAACGCTTGTACAAGCAAAATATTTGGACAATTCTCGCACACTTTGTGTCCAGAAAAGTAACGCAAGAAAAATGAAATAAAAGGCTTAATCGCAGTACCTTGTCAGTCGTCTCTAAAAGAAACTTATATATATATATATATATATATATATATATATATATATATATATATATATATATATATATATATCACCATATTAGACGTTTTCTCTCTAAGGTAAACAATAGCAACACTGAACCTACAGAAAACAAAATAAAAATAAAATTTTCTACAAAAATCAAATGCATGGTAATTATAAGCAAGATGAATCTCCATTTAGAAACATTATACAGAAATATACAAGTCCAGTCGACAGAAACAAGAGAATTAAATTATCTACTATAAAATTGTTAACTGCTAACTTCATTGTCAAAAATAATAACTCACCTGCAAGATGCAAATTACAGAGAACCAATGTTATTTACGAATTCACATGTCCCTTAAAGAATTGTGTTCCTGGTGAATCCATTCATAAATAATTATATTAGATATGTTATAGTATGCCTAAAAAGAAGACTAACATCTCTAACATAACGTAACATCTCTCTGATCATAGGTCTCATTTAAATACACATGGATAACTAACAAATTATATCCACAACAATGTCGTTCATAATGCGAATAGAATAGCCTCATACACAGTAAAAAAGGTTAAAAATAGTGGAATATATATATATATATATATATATATATATATATATATATATATATATATATATATATATATATGATGGTAATCCATTGTAAATTAAACGTCGAAAATGTATAATTTTGTGGGTTGTGTGTAACAGTGTATAATAATTATTTTTCTCTTGTATTTGATCCCGGGTTTTGAACGCATTTTTTGTATGTGCATACGTGTGTGTGTCTAGGTGTGTATGTGGGTGTTTGTGTATGATAGACTTAGGCAAAAGAATCCACCCCAATAATTTTTATTATATATGTAAAACAGCATATACACGGTGTATCAAAAATACTTTTACAAACTTTGGGGGCGTGTTCCTCACACCAAAACAAGGATAAAAATTACTGAGTTATTAAGTTTAAAGTAAGTTTACGGTAGATGTCACTGTGTTGCTATTTTTACTAGGTTACATTAGTTTAACGAGTGTAGAATGGGGGGATAGTCATATCCAGATCAGGCAGATATAATTTTTACATATGGCCGCGCGAATGGTAATGGACATGAGGCTGCACGGTTGTATCAGATTGCGTTTCCAAACCGTAGGCAGCCGTGTCATCCAACCTTTGCCGCTGTTTGTCGTCGCATTGCTGAGACAGTAACCGTGGTACAACAAACTATGGATCGATCAAAACCGAGATTCGCTCGTTCGCCTGAAAGCGAAGAATAAATTCTACAGGTTGTTGGAGAAGATCTAGGTATCAGCACACGTCAAGTGGCCCTGTTATGTCGTATATCTCATAGTATCACATCTAGGGTACTTCATAAGTATCTACTGTAGCTGTATCATTTGCAACGTGTACAGGGTCTTTTGCCATGGGAACTTGCGATACCATTCAACACCGTGTGGGCGTATTTGAAAGGGTCTGCCAGTCTATGGTTCGACGGGTTCATGCGTGTGTAGAATCAAGAGAAGGACATTTTGAAATTTTTTTATGAGTTGCTGTGCTGAGGTAGAACGATAGCCTTGTGAATATGGATATATGTTTATATGGACATTTTCCCTTGTTTTGGTGTCAGGGACCCGCCCCCAAAGTTTTAAAATTATTTTGATATACACTGTATATATATATATATATATATATATATATATATATATATATATGGGCTACTGTAATATTTGCGACTTTAGTTTGAAACATTCGTCCTTGGACAATAACTCCACCGAATAAGGGAAGGTTGTTGCGAATGATATAGAAATATATTTTGCTTCATTCATCGTATATACTCGACTACAGTGTGAAATTTTATGATCAGTTTTGTACGCAAAAATTAAGGTTCGTACTATACACAGATAACTGTTTTAAAAAGATTAAAATCATGCATTTTCTGTAACCGGTTGCATTATACACGGATAATTTTTTTCCTGTGGGCGTTAAAATTCATGAAGAAATTCAGATGTTACACTATGCATGTAGTTGGCTTATACTCGAGTATATACGGTAAGTCTTACACACACACACACAAACGCACACACATACACGGATACGCACACACACACATACGTGCATAAGGAGATATACACAGGCACGCACATATATAAACATACACATACGCACACAAATATCCATACATGCGTGCACACGTGTACATACATACGGACACACATACACATTTACGTACACACAAATACACAGGAACACGCATGAAAATACTCTTGGGAAAGGTATCAATCCAGCTCTTTTCCCCCAGCTATGGGTTAATTAGTAAGACTTTTATCGCTAAATCATTATAATCTCCAGAAAACTTTTTTACAATCTAAAAATATTTTCTGGCTTTAAATAACAGGCAAAGGGTTTATAAGCAGTAAAAAAAAATGAATGAATGAATTTATCAATCAAAGTATACACATACTCACATCCGCTCACAGGTGCCCATATACACAAACACATAAATCATTTATATGTGATTTTATTCCGCTTTTCCGCTTATACGAATATTTTTTTTCAGTTTTTGAATAATCATTTTATCTTTTCATTTTCACTATATTTTTCTTTTTTTTTTATTTCGCCATACATTAAAAATTTGAACCATGAACTGTTTGGCACGTGTTTGCCTATGAAGTCTTTTGCTGAGTGAAAATAAAACCAACTCTGTTTGTCGGAGAGAGAGAGGCTCATTTTCTGAAAGTGTGCTATCAATTATGTAAGGACGGCTGCACTGCAGGTGCTTGAACCTATACATTTTGCGAAGGGAAAGGCGATGACAGGGTAGGTGAAGAAGGGCGTTTCCATAAACGGATAAAGGGAGAAGCGAGGGATGCTTTAAAAAGAATTGGGAGGCTGTAAGAACGAATAACGAATGCAAGAAATGATAGAGGTGAAAGCCACCGATTCCTACCTAGAACGGGGGTCGACTGAAAAGTTCACAGGCTGACCACGATATATCTGTAAGTAGACACACAAGTTGGTAGGCTAAAATCATGCAAAGTTACCAGTAGACAACAGCTGGCCGTCAAATCACGCCACGGGCGAACTTCCGACATCGATGAAGATGCGTTGCTTACCTTCGTGAAGAATAAACCAAAAATTCCGGCGAGAGAGATTCCTAAGAAATTGAAAAATGATATCCTAACTAGATTCCGGCATTTAAAGAGATTTGGATTCAAGAATAACGGTCGAATTTGGTAAATCGAAAAGGTGTAATTTTCCACCACAACAGCTCAAGAGTGTAGTTTTCAAAACAGACATTGCAAACGCTTAAAGAATTTAAATAGTCAACCCCGAGAACTCGCTGTATTCACCAGTTTTGGCTCTGTTATAAATAATCAAGAGTGACCTCCCCTTGTTTCGTTACACTCTTTGAAAAAGCTATTTCTGTTTACTGGGACTATAAGAGGACACTATACGTGAATGTTGTATTCTCAGTTGAATAAAGATTTCTTAAAGACTACACCTGCGTACTTGTGTCATTAAAGGCTCTTTCAGAGTTGCGCTTCTTCCGGTCTCTACGGAACAATTTAAATGGCAAAAAAATTGACTCTTTAGAGTCAGTCGAAAATTAAACCACGACTTTCTTCCGACAAGAAACACGAGGTTTCTATAAAGATGGCATCAAGAATCTTGTAGAAACATAGGAGACTATTGTTAAAAACAATGGACTTTTTTTTGGCGAGTATATAAAACTGTTTTTAATTCTCTAATTGGGCACAAAATTTGCAAAGATCTAATCGTCGCGAAGAAGAGTAATGATGTAAAATCCAGGTATATAAAACCCGGAATTTGCAAGACATTCCCAAATATCAAATAGAATCTGCGTGGAACAAGTTGGAAAACTCATATAGTAAGCAAAATTTAAACTAGAACGATTTGCCCAAAAAGTGAATCGGTCTCAAAGAACAGGTGCTGTCACCTTCTCTGTGACTGTTTCACTAAATCCAGCCCTTAATCAAAGAATTGTTTTTCGTAAATAAGATAATTCGTCAGATATTGGAATACGCTTTTCCAGTAGAATAGAGAATAAATAATTGCAATGGATAGAAGGGGTTTGCCTATCGCACGGTGGACAGTCGTCGCCGGTTTTTACAATAGAAGAAGAGGTTTCCTGTTTACGGTTGTGTTTCCTATTTAAAGTTGTGTTTCCGGTTTCCAGTTGTGTTTCCTGTTTCCGGTTGTGTTTCCTGTTTCCGGTTGTGTTTCCGGTTCCTTCGAATGTATACTTCAACTCCATACTTCTATCCTCTCCGTCAGATCTCTTAAATTTTAATTACTATTTTTTTTTTTAATTTCTCTCTTCAATTGGAGAACATGAGTTCGCGTATCGTCTGGTTCACATTTCTTCCCGGTCATTTGAACAGGAGTAGTGGTTTATCCAGTGTCCCATCCTTAGGATCGGGTTTCCGGTTCCTTCTCACATCTTTCTATTCTCTTTCACTCCGAATGGCCACTTGCGACTTTGTGGTGCTGCCACCTTGCTTAGGTCGAACTGATTAAAAAATATCCCGATATAATGTGCTTCTTACAATGTAACCTTCTTCATCGAGTGGCTTTTGGGTCTTGTAGAGGGTGAATATCACTGTACACATAGATCAAATATCTACATCTTTCAAGAGAATGGGAAAATTTTAAGCCGACAGTTGTATCCGTCATTTATGGAGTAAAGAACATCGAAAAAAGTTTGGGCTGAATTAAAATTCGAGAGAACCGTACTAATCCAGATGTCGTCGTAACTGACAACAGCATATAGTACTGTGGATATGTGGTATCACTTAACCCCCAGAATAAGCCACTAGTTCCTTCTTAAGTAAACACCCCGCCACTAAAAAATGATAAACGTATTGAAAAATCTATTAAACGTCGACTGAAATGAGTCACGAAATACAGAAAATGTCGAACGGATAATGGTGGTTGTCAGAAATAGAACGTATCAAAGAAATGCCCAACAAAATGAAAAAGCTTAAAATGGACCCAGGATTAGCTGCGTGGGTTCAGAAGACAAATAAAGGAAATTGCAGAAGAAATGCTATGGACATAACTAGGAAGTGAAAGAAAAAAAAAATATAATACCATCAGGAATTCGAACGAAATCCCTGGAGATGAAATTCGACAAAACAGCAAAATAGAAAGTATATGAAGAGAGAAATAAAAGAAAAAGAAATCATATAAAATATAAATAAGTTATATACTAGCTTCAAAGGAATAGAAAAATAAATTTGATTGGGCGGGGATAGAGCTTTACTGGTAATTATGCAAACGATTTGTTCTTTTGCTGTTTTGTTTTTAAATCTGTTTTTTTTTTTTTCAATCGAATCTAGCCGCCATCTTAAGTAAGTTTGTGTGTGTGTGTCTGTACGTTAATATATTGGATCGGATTTCCTACATTTTTCAACCGATTTCAACAAAACTTCACAGGACTGCGTAAAATTACCTTACGGTGTTTCTGACAGCACCAAAAATTGGAAAAACACAATTGTTTTTGCTCGAAATCAATTTGAAAACACGATAAAACGCAATTCTGTCGCCAGAATGAAAGGGGGACAACTCATATCGAGGTATACTTATTATAAAACCCAGGTTATTTGTGTGTGTTCGTTTATATATGTGATCGGATTTCCTACATTTTTCAACTTATTTCAACAAAACTTCATTTTTTTTTTTGGCAGGTAGTGTTTCTTATTGTCGTGCACACTTTTTTCTTTGTTTTTACATTCAGAATGCTTTAAAAATTTTATTTACAAGACAATTGTTTATAATAAAATTCTATTCAATTGGTAGACTCATAACGATTGAAAACAATGTTTTTGTTTGAGTTTGGGTTTGACCAATTCGTAAAAAAAACAAAAAAACAAAAAAAAACTAAGACATGCGTGTCCGTCAACCTTAAACAATAATCTTTGTCAATTTTATTTTTCAGTCTTTATGATGGTCGATACTTGATCTATCTCTTACTGTTACATCCCCGGGCAACGCCCGGCTCTACTGCTAGTTTTTACATAAAAGTACGCAGAATCAAATTTCTGTACAACAATCAATGAAAATATTCTGATAATCAGGATAAAGCCAGGTTCCATCTAACCATATAAAATATTGTAAAGTGATTTTATATCCACCCTATTCTATATCACTTTAAGTTTATTTTTTTTATGAAAGTTATCTTCGTATCAAGAAAAATAAAATACATATGGTAAATGTATGTTGAGAGAAAAATATTTTATTTCAATTAACTAACTGTAAAATAGTGCCAATAATTTTTTCCCTCCTTTTCTGTGTTACTCTGTATACAATAATTATATTGAATAGAATTTTTATTTGTATCTGTGGAATAAATCCTATCAACGATAGTACGGCTTTTCTAGAAAGCTAGTTTTGTAACAATGGATGGCGAACAATTAAATAGAACATCATTAATGACTTGTAAGGAGCATCTGGGGATTTTTTTTATTACCGAGACATAAAGAGGCGTCGTGAAATGATGAAAAAAAATAAAGAGGAATAAAAGACGGAATAAGACTTGGAAGCCTGTAGAGAATAGTGAGAAATAATGCAAAATAGCTTTAAAAGTAAATCAACCTAAAGAACAAATCCAGGAATAACACGAAAGAAAGAAGAATATAATTGAAAAGGCAAAAACAAATGGGAAATATGCACAGAACTTCCCGAGGAGAAGATCGGCGCAACAGACTTTCTTCTAAAATTTACTTACATTTGGCCTTTTACCATGCTAAGCCAAACTTGGTAAATCTAAAAGAAATACATACACTAACCTCTCCCTGACCAGACAAAGAATGTTTCTTTTTTAGGGTACGTTTTAGCAAGTAATGTTATTTTAGAATAGCGGTTGGTCTACATGGATTGCTTCATTTAGAAGAATTCCGTATTCATTTTATTTATTTATTTTTTTTTACCACAATGTTTAGGTTGCTGTTCTTTTTGACTTTCTTCGACTATCTGTTGGGAATTGGAATGTCGAAACTTGGTCTGATGGCGAATGTGCTTCTCTTCCCAACCACATCACATACGTTGTTACTGACTGTAAACTCTTGCATATCTCGTTCCATGTTCCATGCATTAAGACCATGGCTTTCCGCTAACACGTAACCTCATTTGCAGGTCGAGCTTTGAAAATTTGCTTCCATATTTAATTGATATATATTCAGTCGAGCAATAAATAGTATCCGTTTTTGTTTATCACTTTTATTTCTTTCAAAATAAAGTGCAATTATATATTATTCGTTTATCTATTCACCATTATTTGCAACGATTGGGTGACACTTAACTGGCAGATCTATGACAACATTCGAGTATAAATCCGCAGGTTTTGATGTGAAAAAATTATCGCCGAATACTTGAATCCGGTTTTTATTAGAGAACGTTTTCCTTGTCAAAGTGTTTTGCATCGAGGTTAATGTGAGGTCAGGTGAAAATAGATGGTAGGAGAGAACAGACGAAATGAGTTCAAAAACAGTATTACATGTTTGATCATTCAAATACGGATTTTTAGGATATGATCGACATCAATACTCATAAGTAGATATAAAGAAATAAATGTCGTAGTCACAAGTAAATATGCTAAAATGAAATATTTCAGGCTGAGTGTTTGAAAAACACGTTCTACTCATTGAGCTGTAGTGTTCAAACCAATTATATTTTGCTGAATAATTCAATCGATGTACGCCTGGGACTTATCTGGATTGTCCGTGTCGCGAAAACGGGAGCAGTGACAATGACATAGTAATGAGTACTGTGACATTATAATTGAGAATTAGTCCGAATAAAGCAATATAAAAATGATTCCAATGCATTGATGAACAAAAAACGCGAACAAGAAACAATTTTATTTTGATTTTGCCCTTCTTCTCTCAATTCTTTTTCTTCTTCTTCTCCTCCTCTTTTTTCTT